GCAACTCCTGGGAAGGTTCACCATTGTTCCAAGTTTTCTCAATTTGTGGATAATGGCTCTGACCGTGGTTCGCTGGAGTCCCAAAGCCTTAGAAATGGCTTTATAATCCTTTCCAGACTGATACATGTCAATTGTTTTGATTCTCATCTGTTCTTGAATTTCTTTAGATGGCGGCATGATGTGTTGCTCTTTAAGCATGCTTCACTTTGTCAGATAGGTTCTATTTAAGTGATTTCTTGATTCAACAGGTCTGGCAGTAATCAGGCCTGGGTGTGGCTAGTGAAATTTAACTCGGCTTTCTAAAATAATGTTGTTAATTGCAGTTCTTTCATGATTTAACAGGTGGGGGCAATTCATTTTTCACATAGGGCCACGTAGGTTTGGACAGCTTTTTTCCCTTAATAAATGAAATCATCATTTAAAAACTGCATTTTGTATTTACTTGCATTAATTCTGTGTAATATTAAAATTAGTTTGATGATCTGAATCTTTTAAGTGTGACAAATATGCAAAACATTTAAAAAACAGCAAAAACCTTTTCACACCACTGTATACATCATGTTAGTACATATTGTACTGCCTTTAATTTATGCGGCTTTTATTTAAAAAACATTGTATTCCAGTGTTTCTTTTAACTTTACGGATTATTCCAGTTTTTATTTTATTATTATTATTAGTATTAGTATTTTTAGCTGTAATAAAGTAAAATGTACTATTAAAATAAGAATGGGAATATAATGAGATTCAATGACAAAGCTAGAACATTACAGAAAAAAAATCTGAAAAGTAAAACTAAAATGTTAGGTAAAATATATTTACAAATTTTTATTTATTAAAAATGTATTCAATGAAAACAGACAGAACAACAGAATGACAGATAGATAGCAAGATGCTGAAAATTCAGCTTTGATCACATCAATAAATTACATTGTAATATATTTTCAAATAGAAAGTTGTTACTTTAAATGGAAAAATATTTCACAATATTATTGCTTTTGCTGTATTTTTGATCAAATAAATGCAGGCTTGGTGAGCAGAAGAGAATTCTTTAAAAAACACATATATACAGTATATATATATAGTTTATTCTGTATATATATATATATATATATATATATATGTATAAATGTTGCCATCTGGTCGGCGATACAGAGCATTGAGCACCAGAACGGCCAGACACAGGAACAGTTTCTTCCCTCAGGCATTATACATTATTTATTTAACACACATACTTATTACATTTCAAATTAGCACATATCATACCTGTACATATATAATTGTCTATATTATATATTGTGTTTTTGTTATTTTGTACATTGTCTATTTTGTATATTATTCTTTTTATTATCTGCATCCTGTCTTGTCACTGTCATTCTGTTGCACTGTGGAGCTTCTGTAACTAAAACAAATTCCTCATATGTGTAAACATACCTGGCAATAAAGCTCATTCTGATTCTGATTCTGATACACACACACACACACACACACACACATATGTATACATTAACAGAATAAACAAGTATATTTATTTGTAATATGAACTATTAATCTATTTATTGAATGCCTGTTGTTTATTAGACAGACAGACAGACAGATAGACATATAGATAGATAGATAGATAGATAGACAGACATATAGATACCCTAACCTGGACATGTTTTTAAATGGTCACCTGTCTCCTGCCATATTACTGGCTTTACCATATACAGACTATATTTGATCCTTGAAAATGACCAGCAATCAGTCAGCTTATCTGTTGAGGGCACAGTGTGGTAAAGAGAAACAGCAAGAGCAAATCAGTGTCTTAAGAAGCAGACCCTTGAGAGGCTGAGTAAACACTTCTCCTCATGGAGAGGCTGATGAGAGCCCCACATGAACACTGCATCTCTACAGAGATCCAGGCCTGAAGTGATTAAGACTTGTGTGATTAAAGATTTGCTCGCACATGTTCATGACTCTTCACTAAGTGCTTCACTCTTCAACCGTCCCCACTCCACTCCCAGAGGGTCACCGTCTGGATGTAACAGTCGTGACCCCCTCTCATCCCACCAGTTGTTTATCGTCTTCGGTTGAAGTGTGTTCAAATAAACCACTTATGTGACAGGCTTTGAGAAGGTGACATTGTGTTAAAAGTGTCACTGGAAGGAGAACGGAAGTTGACAGGAAGCTTACTTCTCTTGCAGGAAGTCCCGCGGTAGCCAGGAGCGCACACGCAGGTCCCGTCTTCAGGAGAGCAGGAGCCTCCGTTCTGGCACGAGCAGGTCATGGAGCAGTTAGGCCCCCAGAAGCCTTGAGGGCAGATGCCGTCACAGTGGATGCCTGTTAAAACAAATGAGGGAAGTATCACTGCATGTTCTCCATGTGCTTCCATATTTACTATTATAGCAGAAAACAGAAGTGGGAATACATGCAGGAAAGCAAAACAAACAAAAGCAAAATAAATCAGAAAAGAGACATGTGCGATGGGGGATGCCTGAACCTTAAGGGCACTGCTTTTATAGTAAGCTAGTATCATATTTTCTATTGGGACAGCAACAGAGTACCAAGCAGGCTTCTCTGAAAGCACAAGTGCTGGTTTCAAAAGCGTGGTGTGTGTGTAGGTTCATGCATCTCTTGGCTGCAGCACTGGGCCGCTCTGTGCTGTGCTCTGTATGTATTTTTGATCAGACTGGGCCTCCCTGCCAGTGCAGAGTGTTCATTAACAGGGCCAAGTCCCTCGGGTGGTTGAGCCTCCTCTCCCATTCTCTTTCAGCTGGTTTGTGTGTAGAGTTCCACTAGGGACACGCTCAAGTACGCACACTCAAATATATAAAGAAGAGACCTACTATATTGTTTCGAAGTGTTGTAATGTAATGACATTAGCTGGTCATGCTGGGATTACAACAAAAACAGGAAAACAACAAGGCACATGGACACACATTCTCATAAACAAGCTTATAATGGAACCAGCACAGCAGACAAACAGCTAAATGCTACTGTAAATATATACTATAAAACAGATAATAATGATAACAGAAATAAAAAATACATATAAAATTTAATATAATTAAATAATAGAAAAGACAATATATGTGTGTATATAAATGTAGATAGATAGACAGACAAACAGACAGACAGACAGAATGATAAACAGATAGATAGATAGATAGATAGATAGATTTTAAATTTATCATAACTAACATTCCTCTTCCTTACAGGCGTAACATTTGTCTTCTCCTTGCAGGTCTAACATTTGTTCGCTTTTGAGAACAAAATGTACCGACACTTCAGTTAGTATGTTGCAATTACAGATGCATATGGACAAAACGGCTAGACGTCTGTCTGAATATAAAAATAACCATAACAACCCATGACTTGAGTAATGAGCTGAAGTAATCAAAAACCAAATTTATTTTGCAAGTAACAGAATGGAGATTTGTTGAATTTCACTTATGAAGAACCAGTTACATTAGAGAAAAATTATGTAATGAATCTTTGCCATGCACCTACAGGTGCATCTCAATAAATTAGAATGTCGTGGAAAAGTTAATTTATTTCAGTAATTCAACTCAAATTGTGAAACTCGTGTATTAAATAAATTCAATGCACACAGACTGAAGTAGTTTAAGTCTTTGGTTCTTTTAATTGTGATGATTTTGACTCACATTTAACAAAAACCCACCAATTCACTATCTCAACAAATTAGAATATGGTGACATGCCAATCAGCTAATCAACTCAAAACACCTGCAAATGTTTCTTGAGCCTTCAAAATGGTCTCTCAGTTTGGTTCACTAGGCTACACAATCATGGGGAAGACTGCTGATCTGACAGCTGTCCAGAAGACAATCATTGACACCCTTCACAAGGAGGGTAAGCCACAAACATTCATTACCAAAGAGTTCACAGAGTGCTGTATCCAAGCATGTTAACAGAAAGTTGAGTGGAAGGAAAAAGTGTGGAAGAAAAATATGCACAACCAACCGAGAGAAC